CTCGGGGAGGGCTGCGTGCAGGGAAGGCGCGTGGATCCCGCCTCTCCCGGTGAGGTTGGGGTGGAGGCGGCTCCTCGCCAGCCCTGGATTCTTGGTTGGGGTGCCGGGTGGGGGAAGCGTGGGGAGGCGGGCGCAGACGGGCCGGCACCTGCGAGCGCGCGTGGGACGGGAGCCCTGGGCTCAAGGAATAATCGTGATGTTTGGGGAGATGCCCCGTTCAGCTCCCTCCACCGGGTCTTTCTGATGTCTGATGTTCCTTGTCCCTGAAGCTCAAAATCTATCTGGGGGTCGTCCCTCTCCCCCCAGGACCCCCGGGGTCAGCAACGGATCACGAACCACATGCATGCTGGTGGTTTGTGCAAAGAGTGCATTTGTGCCCACAGACGCCTGTCTGTGGAGTGTGTGCTTCAGTGCGTCTGAAGGGGCCATTGTGTCCGATGAAGGGAGTGTGTACCTTGTGTGTAAGTTGGTGCTGACGCCACCAGAACTTCGGTTCCTCCTCCTCCCTCCCTGATTGCATCATTAGTGCTAATTGAGGGGCTTTCACACGCCAGTGCATTAGCTGTTTGGAGTGAGCTCCCCCCTCCTGGGAGAGATAAGCCGCTGCCCCTCCCCCTCGCAGCTCTGCACTTCCCCACCGCTCTGAAACTGTCCACCTAGATCCTCTCAACTTTCTGGGCGCCTTCCTGCCCCCCTCTGAGCCCGCTTAATCTCTCTTCTCCCCACCGTGTCAGGGGTGGGAGGGGTCGGGGAGGAGAAGGGTCCAGAGTCTCCTTTCTGGAGGGAGGGGGGGCGGTGTTCAGGGAGAGATGTTTTCCCCTGTAGAGATCTGGCGTTTCTACAGAAAGCAGGGTGTCTGTGATGAGGAGGGACACAGGAATTTCTGTCTGGTTCGTTTGGACGTGGAAGGGCAGAGGAGAGGGCTGAGTCCTTGATCTCCAGTTGGTGATCTCCCCCGAGGTAGGTCTTCCAGCCTTGACTCCTTGTCCCCTACAGCTGGGAGACTCAGGGCCCAGTCTGACTCAGCAGGCATTGGAAGGGCTGGGGGATATCCCGGAAGCCTATGTTTCCCTGAGAAGTTGGGGTTGGTGGCCGTGGGTCTGATCCTGCATTGCTGCTCTGCCCTGCACTGGCCCATGGCTGCGGGGTGTTGGGGAAAGCTCTGAGCAGATGCCCTGCCCAGCCCTCACACCAGATGTCTTTGGTCTAATTAACTGTGCTGGGAAAACCAACCTGGGTTTGTAAACAGAGCTACTGGCTAAAGTCAACAGGGAACAGCAGCAAACAGCAAACATTCTCCTCACACTCAGCCTCAGTCCAATTCAGCATCCTGGGGGAAAAGGGGGAGCTGAGTGGGTCATGAGGCCCCCCGACCCACAGCTGAGTCAGGGAAAGCCTGTCTGCCTCTGTCACCCCATGTGGCGGCCGTTTCCTTGCCAGTTCCGGGCCCCTTCTGCTGGAAAGGAATGGAGATTCTGGGAAGAACCATGGCCATCCCAAGATAGTCTCTGTCTCCCTTCCAGCAGTTTCTCCATGGCTATCTCCCCAGCCAAACCTCTCCATCCATGAGGAAGCCACTGTGGGGGAATATTCCTCAAAGAGAGCTTTCCTTGGGGCTTGCTCTGCTCTCATGTCTTGGGAAGCCTCTGAGGGTAGAACTTGGCATCATGGGTCTACAGCTCGGAGTAAGTGAATAGAACGTGAACATTGTTAAGTTCGTTACACATCGTGTAGGTATTATAATAACATGTTCCGAAATTAGATAATTATTCCTGTGATATCTTTGCCAAGCTTCAGCATCTCTGTTATGGTTTGAAAGTTCAATGCACACAATGGCCTGAGAAACAGGCACAAATGTACGTTCAACACACACGCATAAGCAGCGGCCTCACACAGGCACAAAGACATTTCAACTATCTCCCCCTCACACTCACTCTGTCTCTCTCACCAGCTCTCAGACACACAGACGTATACAATCTGAGTTGGAGATAGGTTTTTGGCTTCTGAAAGAAAGGGATTGAACTTTTTGAAGAGATTAGAGTTTCTGAATTGGCAGTTCTTAAGTCCTTAACCAAATTTTGCTAGTTTGCTTTTTTTTTTTTTGCCACCCAGGGAGAAGAATCATTTCAAAGAATTGAAAGATGGGAAGCCCTGCTGTAGGCCCCTGATCTGCAGTCTACCCACCCACCCGAGGACCAGGCTGGATCCACAGCCTGGGCCTCACAGACCAGAGTCCTCAGGCCGGTGTCCGGCTCAGAGCCCTTGGTGTCACCGAAGAGCCTTCAGATGTCAGTCCTTTCTCTCCCCGCTGGGCTCCTGGCTGCCCTCAGACCAGAGTGTCTAGTTTGAGAAGGTCCTGCACTTTGGACAAACTGTGTTTTCTTGCTTCCCCTGTCTTTTCTACCATGCCCCCACCCCACCCGAACACTAACTTGGCTGTTAGTCCTTTGGAAGATGGCCCAGATTCCAAAATGCTAGATTTCTTTGACAGTGACTTGTATTTTTTTTTTTTTGAGTTGGAACCTCACTCTGTCGCCCAGGCTGGAGTGCCGTGGTACACTCATGGCCACCCTAGCGACGACTGGCTGGTCTCTGGGGCTCCTTCTGCCTCAGCTTTCCAAGTAACTGGGACCACAGGTGTGTGTCACCACACCTGGCTAATTTTTTGGGGGACTGGACAGGCGTATCTTTATTGGCAGTGACTACTTGAGTGGGATGAAGCGGGAGGAGTGGGTGGAACTGATGCCAGGCTGCCAGTGCTTCACAGGCTTGTAGATGATGGAGAACTTGCCCAGGTAGTGGCCGATCATCTCCGGCTTGATCTCCACCTGGCTGAAGGTCTTGCTGTTGTACATGGCCACCATGCTGCCCACCATCTCGGGCAGGATGATCATGTCATGCAGGTGGGTCTTCACCACCTCGGGCTTCTCCATGAGGGGTGCCTCCTTCTTGGCCTTGCACCGCTGCTTGAGCAGCGAGTGCTGCTTTCGCCACAGCCCTCAGTTCAGCTGCCGGCACTGCTGCATGCTATACAGCTGCATCAGCTGCTTGTAGGACATGTCCAGCAGCTGGTCCAGGTCCATCCCACGGTAGGTCAACTTGCGGAAGGTCCTCTTCTTCTTCTGCTCCACTTCCGCCATCTTGCCGGCTCCTCGGAAAGGGCTGCCTCTAATTTTTTGATTTATTGTGGAGACGAGGTCTTGTCGAGCTGACCAGGCTGATCTCGAACCCATGGGTTTAGGCAATCTTCTCGCCTCTGCCTCCCAAAGTGCTGGAATTACAGGCGTGAGCCACTGTGCCCAGCTGACAGTGTCTTTTAAATACCTTCTTTCAGCGTGGTTCTGTCATATCATCTGAGGCTGCCTGGATTATTATACCAACCTCCCAGCAGCCTTCTTAATCCTCCATGCTTTTCCCTCCAGGCCAGGTCCCAGACCCGCTTTTAGAATATTTCTCCCCCACTCAGAAACCTGAAGCATAAACAGAATGGGCCTTCAGGCCTCCACCTATCTCTTCACCCTCCTTTCCATCCCCCTGCGCAGAACCAGACTCCCCAATCTGGTGCCATCACCTGTCTTTTCCCCTCAGTGCCCACTCTCCCAGTTCCTCCTTCCTGAAGTGCCCTCTCCTAGCCTTCCCATTTAATCTTTGCCAGCTGATTCTCCAAGTTCTCTCAGAAAGTCATGATTTTGAGACAGTGCTTCTGCAACCGGGGTATATGGGACCTGGATTCTTGAGCGTATATTCTGAGAGTTCTGTGGATTTCTGCTCTTTGAAGAGAAATGTGCAAAATCCATGTCTCAGGTCTTGGAAAACTTGATGTCCAGTAAAGAGCTTGGGACTTGGAATCATAAATTCAATCTCATTAACTGAGTTACCTTGGGTAAGTCGGTTAACCTCTCTGTGTATCGGTTTTCTCATTAAGAAAATGGGGGATAATAGTACTTGCCACATAAAGTTGTTGAGGGGTGAAATGCAAAAGCATAAAGTGCCTAGCATAGCTCTCAGTCTATGTCCTCTATTACCAGTATGAATAAAAATAGTAAACAAATAAACATCTGTGACATGTTATACAACTTGGATGACTGGAGGCAGAAATGACCTGAACCGTTTTCTATCCTGGATCCCACTGGTGAAATCGCTCAGTCTTCTGGGCTCTGTTTGTGCCTCGAATTTTCACTTTTTCCCAAATCAGCAACCCAGCAGTGGATGAGCAGGGGCCTCGTCACCTTCCCCACACAGGGTGAGCTGTGGAGGGAAGACCATGTCTGGCTGAGGTGTCGTGTGGTGAACCCCTCCCCATGTCCCAGTGGCCAAGAGCAGGGACAACCTCAGCTTGTCCTCCCTGGGGCAAGGTCTGGGGTGGGAGCTGATTCAGAAAAGAGGGGGGAGGGGCAGGGCAGAACCAGGCCAGCCTTTTCCTCTACTCCCACCTCCCCCAGGTAGGAAGTAAAACTGACGTTTCCAAAATATAAAAAACAGATGATGAAGGTCAGGTTTCCTATACGCTGGAGAGCGAGAGCCCTGAGGCAGAGTCCTTAAGAAATGATCTGAGACAGAGACAGTGGGGGAAGAGAGAGAAAGGGAGAGAGCAGAGATAGACAAAGATGAAGGGACAAGAGACAGACAAAAAAAACAAAAAACAAAAAACAACCTGAATCCTGAGAAAAGTAGTCATATAAAGACAGAGAAAGAGAAAGCCATGGTTCAGGCGCGATCCTTCCACTCATTTCTGGAAAAGAGCTTAGTTCCCCTTGCTGGGTCTCAGGATGTGAACATGAGCCGTTTTGACTCTATGATCCTGTCAGAGGGCGAGGCCCTCCTGGAACCCAGAAACCAAACACTCTGTGGGCTCACAGAGCTCTCACTGCCTGGGCTGGTCTCTTTCTATCTTCTTGGCCTCGGAGTCTGTGGTCCAGAGTGCTCCTGGAAGGCTCCCTTCCTGCGTCTGGCTCTTTTTTCCTCCTCCTCCCTCCTGTTCGGCTTCACCCATCAGCCCAGAGAGATGCTCTGTGACAGTTTGTCTCTCTGTCCCTTTTCCACCTTTCTGGGCTGTAGGCACCCTCCTTCACTGTTCCTTTGATTGGAGTAGCTGAGGGATGGGTGGGGCTGAAGGCTGGAGAGGGGGTTGGTGCCCCAGGGAAGGCTGAGAGGTACCTGCTGAGAGCCTCACCTTGAGAGGAGGAGGGGGCGGCCTTGGGGTCAGGGTCCTGCCTGAATGGAGACTTTGTCCTGAGGACTCTTGAGGGGAGGGAGAACAGAAGAGGCTGGGTCTCAGTGTCTCTGTTCTCCTGGGCAGTTGTAGCAGAAGTTAGAGGGATGGAGAGTTGACCATCGGATCAGTGGGTGACAGATGGACTCTGGCAGTTGGAGCTGGTGGAGCAGGAGCCTTTGTCTTTGTCCAGAGGTGATGGGGATGGGAGCATAGGGCCAGGCGGCTAGGAGCTAACATATCACACTTTCTCTGACAAAGCCAAATGTACCCTGAGTCAGTGGGGTCACTTTTTTCCTAGGCCATGGTCAAATAGAAAGAAACAGTTTCTTTTGAGCCGCATCAGGGATGCAATTTGGAAAGTGGAGAGAAAAAAGGAAGAAAGAGGGACTTTTGAGTCTGTGCATCTGTCTGAACTTCTAAAGGGCTGACAACTCTCTCCTTCTTCCCAGGTTCCTTCAGGAGGACAGTCTGGACCCAGGCACAGGAGGAACACCGATCTTTGATGTCAAGGAGGCCGTGGCACCACTTCTGCACTCAGGCACTACTTCTGCACTCAGGAGCTTGCAGTGTCATTGGGAAGACTCACCTCAAGCCAAGCCAAGGACTGATACAAAGGAGAATGTGGGATAAGTGAGGGGGACACAGGGAGTGACTGGCAGGAAAGTGCTGGCTCCTTCCTGGACGCTGATGGAGAACTATCATGTCCCGAGAGCCTGCTGTGCGCCAAGAACTGTCTAACCTCTGGACACGTACTGTGAGATCACTATGATTGTACCCATTTTACAGATGGAGAAGTTGAGGCTCATTAGATTAAGGAATCTGTTGAATGTCACATAAATCCTAAGAGGCAGACCACCGTGAAATCAAAAAGCAGTGACTCGGGTCCTGATTCAGGGTTTCTTTTCTCAGCTCTTTGTTGGTTTGGGGGACAAAAAAAAATTCCAGTCGAAGGGAGAGGCAGACAGGCAAATACATGTCACCAATGGAAACCAAGAAGGAAAGTCATTAGGGTCATTTTTGCCTTCAAGCAACAAAGGTCATCAAGATTTGTTGTTGTTGTTGTTCTTATTATTACTATTAATGGAGCACACTTATTAAATGCCTTTCATTATCACTTAATCCGCTTAACACCTCTAGGAGATAAATACTATTATTATCTCCAATTTTCAAGACGAGAAAATCGACATAAGAGGGGCTAGGTAAGGGAGACAAAGGGATCTGTTAAGAAGCAGGGACCAAATTTGGATGTGGATATCTCTGGTGGCAGAATTCATGCTCTTCCTTGCCCTGCATTTTAGTTCACTGAGCTGGGCTGGGCTGCTTTCAACTGCAGAAATCCCAGGGTCAGTCTTCCCAAGCCCAGCCCTGCAATCTTGTCTGATGATGTGTGAACCTTTAAAGGAGAGAGGCGGGTCCTGCTGGGGCACGGGGCACTGGTAAGAAAAGGAGGGAAACAGAGGTACATTGAAGAGACTGCCCCCACCCTGAAAAGAAAATCACAGTCTCAGGAACTAAACCCTCGTGAAGTGTTTCTCAGAGACTCCAGATAGTTCTGAGGGAAGAAGAACAAGTCAGGAGCTATGATTAACAAAGGGTTAACGAGACTCTGGGAGTCTTTGTAGAATTAAAATAATTATTTGAAAAATTCCAAAAGGCATGATAAAGGAAATAAAAATTACACACAATCTCCCCATTAAGAGAGATTATCTACAGTAAGTTGTGAGACGCACCTTGCCTGCTCCAACCCCAAACCCAGCGGTAACCTGCATGAACTGAGTCATGTGAGGGTTCTCTAGGGTGCTACACCCACACACACGCATGCACACATGCACACACGCACACACGCACACACACACACATCATCCTCTCCTTCCCCCACCAGCCTCCTGTGGTGACTGTCTCTATGAGCAGGCTCCAAGCTTAGACACCTTGGAGTCTCTTTGATGTTTTCAGACTCAAATTCAAGTCCTGTGCTTTTAAAACTGCCTCCTGGATTTGCTCCCTCTTTTACTCATTGCCATCCTCCCAAGTCCAGGCTTTTCCTCCCACATCTGCTTTGTTGATTGGGTCTTCTCAGTGTTCTTTCCCACCTCGAAGCATGTATGGGCACCAGATTTATCTGCCAAGAACACCACTTCCAACACATCATTTTCCTGTTCTGAAATCTTTGATGATTCCCCATCATTTGGAGGATAATTTAGCCTGGCATTTAAAGTCCGTCGCAACCTACGGCTCCTATTCTTCTATCTGCAAGTACTTCCTGACTCCGTGCTACAGCCTAACGGGTTGCCTCCCCAATCTTAGAGCAGACTCCTACCCTTTTCCCACCTATCCAAGTTCTCTCATCCTCCACGGCCCAGTTTCAGGTTTTCTTTTTGCAGAAAGCCTTCTGTGACCTCCATAATCCATATCCATTGCTCCTTTCTAAAATGCCTGAACACAAGAAGGCGATGACTTATGGTTCAGGGAGCCCTTTGTTGAAAGGGTCCTTGGGTATGACCATAGAATAGGAGTTCCCAGTCTAGGGCCGTGAAGTCTCCAGGGGTCTGTCTACAAATGTACTGTGTGGGCGGGGGGTGGCCTCAAGCTTTTGCCAATATTTCAGAAAGCCTGTAGGAAATTGTATATATTTCATAATAAGCTAGCCCAGGCAAGGGAAATATTGACTTTATTGCTTATGACCAGAATTATTGCCCCTGTTCAATAAGAAAAACGGGGAAGCCGGGCTTGGTGGATCAGCCTATAATCCCAGCGCTTTGGGAGGCCAAGGTGAGCGGATTGTCTGAGCCCGCGAGTTTGAGACCCGCCTGGGTAACTTGGCGAGACCTCATCTCTACAATAAATCAAAAGATTAGCCGGGCATGGTAGTGCATGCCTGTAGTTCTAGCTACTTGGAAGGCTGAGGCGGAAGGATTGCCGGAGCCCAGCAGGTTGAGGCTGCGGTGGCTGGGAACATGCCATTGCACTCCAGTCTGAGTGACAGAGTGAGACTCCAACTCACAAAAAAAAGAAAAAGAAAAAGAAAAACAGGGAAATAAATTAGCTTTTATGTACCTTGGTTGGAGGATTTTTTCAAAATTTGGTGTTTATGGGGCAGCAGAGTGAATAAAAGGGGTCCTTTTGAAAATTATTTTTATTGTCATTATTTTTAGAAATGGGTCTTGCTTTGTTGTCCAGACTGGAGTGCAGTGGTGTGATCATAGCTCACTGTAGCCTTGAGCTCCTGGGCTCAAGTGATCCTTTCGCCTTAGCCTCCTGCGTAGCTGGGACTACAGCTGTGTGCCACCGTACCCAGCTAATTAAAAAAAAATTTTTTTAAGAGATGTGGTCTTAAGCCGGGCTCGGTGGCTCAGCCTGTAATCCCGCGTCCTTGGGAGGCTGAGGTGAGTAGATTGCCTGAGCCCGCGGGTTCGAGACCTGCCTGGGCAATTCGGCGAGACCTCATCTCTACAATAAATCAAAAATGAGCTGGGCGTGGTAGCACATGCCTGTAGTTCCAGCTACTTGGAAGGCTGAGGTGGAAGGATTGCCGGAGCCCAGCAGATCGAGGCTGCAGTGGCTGGCAGCGGCCACTGCACTCCAGTCTGGGCGACACAGTGAGACTCCAACTCAAAAAAAAAAAAAAAAAAAGGCCGGGCTCGGTGGCTCAGTCTGTAATCCTGCGCCTTTGGGAGGCTGAGGTGAGTGGATTGCCTGAGCCCGCGGGGTCGAGACCCGCCTGGGCAACTTGGCGAGACCTCATCTCTGCAATAAATCAAAAAATTAGCTGGGCGTGGTAGCGCATTCCTGTAGTTCCAGCTTCTTGGAAGGCTGAGGCGGAAGGATCGCCAGAGTCCAGCAGGTTGAGGCTGCGGTGGCCGCTCCCTCCAGTCTGGGTGACAGAGTGAGACTCCAACTCAAAAAAAAAAGGAGATATGTTCTTGCTCTGTTGCCCAGGCTGATCTCAAACTTCTGGGTTTACGTAATCCTTGCAAAGTGCTGAGATTATAGGCACAAGTCACGGCACCTAGCGTAAAAGGGATCCTTGATGATGAAAAAGTTGGAGTCACTAGTTGCGCCCAATCTCTTGACCAAAGCAGGACTCTTAGATGGACAAATATCCCAATCACTCCTTGTGGTGGGCAGCCCTGAGTATCTATTCATGTAACACTAGCTGTGGTTGTGATTTCTCACATCTGTGTGTTATTTGATTGAATTTAGTCCACTCTTGATTATAAACTCCATGAAGGCAGGGCCCTGTTTGACTTCTGCTCCACAAATATTCTCCGTCATCTAGCACAGTGCCAAAGCCCAATTAGTCAATGTTTCTTATTTTCTGTTTTACGAGGCTGTTGGAAAGAGTAAACGTATGCTGTTTTGTAAGCTCGAAATCAGGACCTGTAACCATTTTAGGAGTGGTTGTGATTATTGTCTCTTCAATTACATTTCAATCTCCTGGATGGACCAGATGCAGGTCACCTTCCCCTCCCCCAACCTGGTCCCCCTTAGCTTTGTATAAATGATCTATTTCATAGACTGAGCTTTTTGTTGTTTTTGTTTTTTCTCTTTCTGTTTTAATTGTTTGTTGAGTGTTGACTTTTTCCTTCCCTCTCATCCCCTTTCCCCTATTCAGTCCTCATGTGTTGATCATCTATCTACTCTATGCTAGACATCAAGCAAATAACCAAAAACACTATGATGAATGATGGCGTCTCTATCCTGAGGCATGTCTTGAAATGTTTTTTTTTTTCCCTGTTGAGTTGGAATCTCACTCTGTCACCCAGACTGGAGTGCAGTGGCACGCTCCCGGCTACAGCAGCCTCGACCTGCTGGGCTCTGGTGATCCTTCCACCTCAGTCTTCCAAGTAGCTGGAACTACAGGCATGCGCTACCACACCCGGCTAATTTTTTATTTATTGTAGAGACAAGGTGTCACGAAGTTGCCTGGACTGGTCTTGAAGCCACGGGCTCAGGCAATCCACTTCGCCTCCGCCTCCCAAAGTGCTGGGATTATAGGCTGAGCCACCAAGCCCACCTCTTGAAATGTTTTTAATGAAACACGCCTCTGGGGCTTCCCATCATGTTCCTTTGATTACTTAGTGGTTTGATAATGCTCCTCTCAAAACAGGGCCCAGGATCTTTGCACTTGCTGTTCCCTCTGCCTGGAGAGTCTTCCAAAGCCTCAGGCTTTTCCACGTCGGGCTCTGCCATATTCAGCCTCCAACATCACCTCATCAGACAGGCCTCCCCTGGCCACACTCTGCTCCATTGCTGTTTTGTGTCCTCAGAAGACTTATCAGTCTCTGAAAGTATCTTGTACATCTGTCATATTTTTACTTTTTTGTTGTTACTCTCTCCTCATTAGAATGTAAGCATCAAGCTGAACAGGGTGGCTCATCCCTATAATCCCAGCATGTTGGGAGGCAGAGGCAGGAGGCTCTCTTGAGTCCAGTAGTTTGAGACCAGCCTGGGCAACATAGCAAGAGCCTGTCTCTACAAAAAAGAAAAAATATATTAGCTGAGTGTGGTGATATGAGCCTATAAGTCCTAGCTACTAGGGAGTCTGAGGTGGGAAGATTGTTTCAGCTTAGTAGGTCATGGCTGCAGTGAGCTATAATTTCACTACTGCACTCCAGCCTGAGTGACAGAGCAAGACCTATCTCTAAAAAAGAAAAGAAGAAGAAGAAGAAAAAGAAAAACAATATAAGCACTATGAGGGAAGGGGGGAAAGGACTTTGTTTTGTTCACTGCGTATGCCCCAAGCTCCAAGCAGTGGCAGCATATAGTAGGTACCTGGAAACATATAATTAGGTCCTTATGGAAGGACCGAAAATGAGATTCCAGAGATCTTCTGTCAACTCAATGTAAGACTTTCCCCTGCTATGTTTTGAACACTGCACATCTAGTAATTCTCTTATCCTCTCATATTTTCAGGGATATCAGTCTTGTGTCAGAGGCTAAATAACAAGTGTCTTCTCACCGGCAGAAAAGAAGTCCTCTCCTTTGTCTTAACCAAACTCAGCCTCTTATCCTGCTTTCTGCCACTGTGGCTTGCCCTTCTCCTCAGAATTTACCTGCCTTGTGTCTTATTCCCTCAGGGTTCTCCTCTGTGACTTTTAAGGTGACAATCAGTTAATCCA